CCTGCCCCCATGGCCCTGCCCCCACACCCTGCCCCCCATGGCTCTGCTCACCATGGCCCTGGACCCCACACCCTGCCCCCATGTGCTCTCACCTCCGCCATTTTTGTAGCACAGGTATGGAAACCGCCAGACATTAGCCAGGTCCACAGCAAAGCCAATAACAGAGAGCAGAAAGTCGATTTTCTTGCTCCAGGTCTCCCGCTCCTGGGCCTCCCCGGGAGGGGAGGGTGGGTTGATGAGGGTGGAGTTGGTGAGCTGCACCCCGTTCTGCTCCTTGACCAGGATGAGCTCCACCTCTCTGGGGCCTGTGGAGTTGGTCTCCTTTGCCGGGACCACCACAGAGGACATGGGTCCTACGGAGTACTTGCTCTTACTCATGGGTGGACCGAACCTGGCCTTCCGCCTCCTCCTTCCTGGTCTACGGCCAACAAGAAAACAAATGGTCACACGCTGACTTGCTAGCCAGGCCTGAAGATGCACCTGGGCAGTCACAGGCCAGACGGCGGGGGCGGGGCCTGCCAGGCCTCCAGGGGCGGGGCTGGGGGTGACGGGCACAGAAATGGAGACAGACACTGTGGCTCCTGCACACACTCTGCCCCCGCGCAGGCTGGAGGAATCTCTGTCATTCTAATAACGATGCACAGATGCTACCCCTCTCCCCTGTTCCCAAGGAGCAACCTCCAGGCTTCCGAAGGACGCACAGGAACTCTTCATAACAACACACACATTCTTTACACACAGTATAGTCTTCATCACCATTCACCTGCACTCTTTATATTTAGTCATAAAATCAAAAGCAAAATGCGGGCCAGGTATGGTGACACACACCTAAGCAGATCCCAGGACTCAAGAGGCCAAGGTGGACGTAAAGTCTGAGGCCAGCTTGAGTTAATGAGGTGAGGCTGTCTCAAGAATCACGGCGATCAAGAAAAGGAGCGAAGCAACAAAGCATGCACAGAGCCAAAGCATGCACAGAGCCAAAGACAGCCCCACGGCCGGAAGTCTGAAAAACAGCATTGCAATTTCTCCAAGGGACGCTTGTGTGGAGTGCGGCTCGGCATCTCCAACTCCACCAGCGCCACCAGCGCCACCAGCGCCCACCAAGGGTGAACCAGAGCCTCACTGGGGCGAGCAGGCTGTGCACGCCACCGTCCCACGGAAATCACCCACACCGCTTCCACAGCGCCCGGCTAGTGTGACAGAGAACCCGAGTGTTCACACACCGTACAGCCTGTGTGCGCTGCTTCCTATGAGCCTATGTGTGCCACACACAGACAGACAACACACACACACACACACAGACAGATAGACACAGACAAGACGCACAGACACAGACAAGATACACACAGGTACATACAGACACACAGACACAGACAAGACACACATAGGCACACAGACACACAGGTACACACACAGACACACAGACACAGACACACAGGTATACACACTGACACAGACAAGACACACATACAGGACACACAGACAGACACAGGCAAGATACAGACACACACAAACAAGACACACAGACACACAGACACAGACAAGATACACCAGGCACACACAGACACACAGACACAGACAAGACACACATAGGCACACAGACACAGACACACAGGTACACACACAGACAAGACACACAGACACAGACAAGACACACAGACAGGACACACAGACAGACACAGGCAAGACACAGACACACACAGTCACACACACACTGACACAGACACACAGGTACACACACAGACAAGACACACAGACACAGACACACAGACAGGACACACAGACACTCTGAAGCCCCCCTGCCCGGTGCTGAAGGAGTAACTTCCTCTGCATCCAAACTCTGAAGCTCCTGACAAAAGCGATTTTCCGCCCCGCTTCTCTGTGGCCTCTTCACCTCCGGCCCGGCCCGACCCAAAGCGGTGCGGGGCGCGGGGGCTCGGGGCTTGGAGCAGCGGTGCGGGGCGCGGGGGCTCGGGGCTCGGAGCAG